AGGAATGAAATTACAGATGGGGAAATTTTTACGTGCAGTACACCATGTTAGCTAAACAAGAGAGCAACTGAGAAGCTTCTGAAAGCTCATCAATGCCGACGATACATGCAACTATGGAGAATATGCAAGCAACTTGGTTGAGGCAAACCATAAAACCCTACACAGCCAAGAAGACAACACTTTTATTTCATGTTTCCATTTGTTTCTGTTGTAATTTCTTCTGTGTCACTAACCACTTGGTTAGGGTAATGAAGATACTTACAATGATGCAGTTGTCACACTGTGTCGTCTGAATTTGGAACTCATCTTGCAGAAGAAAACGAGTCGAGGCCACAGAGTTTCCAAAGCAGCAAAAGACCTGCGATTGTTCTGCTATTTAGAACACCGGAAACTAGCTAACAATTCATATGAGTCACACAACTAGGCAAGACTACTGTTGTATGCAAATGTTAAGAGGAAGTACTTAGATGTTGAAATGAAAGTTCTAGACTAATTATTGGAGTTAGCAAAAACAAGGTTTTTACCTCAGTGGCAAGACAAAGTTGAGGACATTTGGTTTCTCCACACCTACCGCTACAAGGCATGTAACCGGCACAGCATGTGTACCTGCAAAACAAAGAAGGATCCTTTTAAACTACGAAGATCGAATTGGAACGGATGGATCTATGAGAAAGGTGTAAAATACCTTGACATGTCATTGTAAAGCGCACGCTTTCGGAGCAAATACGATGCACAAGGAGCACTGCAAGGAGCAATAAAACACAGGGCATTTACATGTGAATGGAACAACGCAGCATATACACCAAAAGAGATACAGATCATACAATGTGATAGTCCTATTAAACAATCTGTAGCAGTAATCGAAGCAAATATAAACGACTGAATAAACTCGTAATTATCTTGGAAATTCATATCATTCCAAAGAGAAATTGATGGAACATAATAAGAAATTATTTCAAAGTCAAATCTTCGTCAATTCCAAATACAAAGAGAGCAACAGAGTAACGAAAAAAAAGATGGGATCGAGCAGTAACTTACCACCACAACGCGAAGCAGCAATCTGCGAAGAACAACACAGGAAAATGTTCGATCAAAACCTAAAAAATCGATCAAACACAAAAAAAAATTTCGAAAAGATGATAAGAGTGAGAAATTACAAGGAGTATCGCCCTGGATACTGTGCGTGAGATCCGTATGCCAAACGTTACGGAAATTCTGGCGTTCCTGCATCTTCTCCACATCCTGTGTCGGAGCCATTTTTTCGCAGGGATCTGATTCGATGGCGAAGTGAAGTCAAATCTTAGAGAGAAGAAGCGATAAAAGATCAGAGGCTCGAAAAGTCTTTTGATCAAATCTTCTCTCTCTCACAAACGTGTTTGTGACTTCATACTTTGTCAAATCGTCAACTTGAAGAATACAATTAGGCATGAACTGGCGTTGACTAGACGAGGGGGGGGGGGGGGGGTTATATGGGCATTTCGAGAAATATCGAAAACATTACGGTCAATTTGAAATTATCTTAATTTTCAAAACTGACCTTTTACTTTCATTAATTAACTAAAACCACCCAATCTGGATCACCACAGAGGGGTTAATTGGCTAGATAACCTAACAAAAAAATTATAAAAGTAAGCAAATACCCTAATGTGGCAAAATTTCATCCATTAATTTTAGGGTTTCTTTGTTAGTTTTTGAATTATAATTTTTTTTTGGCTATCTAGCAAATTGACTCTTAAAAGTATAATCAATCTTAGTTGGGGGTGCTAAGATTATTTAATTATTTTTAATCCATTAGCAATCCATTTTTGAAGTGCTAAAATGTTAAAATTAACAACTCAATATTGAAATTCTAAAGATTATTTAATTGTTTTTAACCTTTAGCAACCCATTAAAAAACCTTTTAACACCCAACATTGATAGTATTCTACAAGAGTGATTATGACTTGTTATCAGCAAATGATATATTAGTGACCGACGTGAAATCACAAGCTCCCCAAGTGGACCGACCAGATTCGTACACGTAAACTAATTTGAAAATTTGGTACTTTCCTCGCAACAGGTATGCGTATGGATTGGATTCTTATAGACGTTTGGGCCCGTTATGCGACGTAGCGTAACAGTACGAATCCTAGTGTGTGTTATCGTTGATTTGAGGGGTTATTAGTTCTAATTAAGTAAGC